GGCCCCCTCTGCTTCCCTCTCCTGCTGAGTCTCCTCTGGCGCTGGCTCCTCACCCCGCCCCCCACTTGACTTCCCGTCCGGAGCTCCCCCACTTCCACCCCGCCCCCCAGCTCAAGGGCCGGGGGCAGCAGGAGCAGAAAGCCCCCCTCCCGCCCGTCTGCACCTGACACAGGTGGGGGCAGGGTCTTCGGGGTGGCTGAGGGGAGAAGCAGGGCCAGGGCTTGGGGAGGGGGCGTCCCTCTGCCCGATGCCCCTGCCCGCTGCTGCGTGGCGCGGACGCTGGGGCCTGAGTCATGGCTGACTGGGCCGCACCCAGCCTGCCTGGGTGACCCAGGCCGGCATAAGGCGATGACTGGGCAGCCCTCCGCATGACCGGCCGGGGTCGGCCTTAGGTGTTTTGACTCAGACCTGCCACGGGCCGTGTGCACCACAGCCATCCTCCCCTTGTCCCTGTCCCCAGAAGAGGCACAGGGCTGCAGCTGCCCCTCTGGACACGGGGCCCCCCAAGCCGCCACTCCCTGCCCTGGCACCCACCTCAGAACCCCGGAGCCACCTGTCCATCTGATCCACCCTCCGCCACAGGCTCCAGGGCCCCACCCGCTCCCTGAGACCTTCGCCCCTCCCAGAGCCCAGCCCTGCGGACGCCCCAGGAAGCAGGGAGCGGCCTGCGGCTGTGGAGGGCCGCCCCACGGCGTCCGTGGACTGTGACCCTTCCCTTAGCACTGGGCAGGGGCTCCAGTGGCCTCCCCACGTCCAGCCCTGGCGTGGAGGGTGGGAGGCAGTGGGGGGCAGAGACAAAGAGAGAAGAGCTAAGAAGAAAGACACCAGTAAGTGGGGACAGGGAAAGTAAGAGGGAGAGAGAGAGAACCCCGGCCACCGCATCGTGTTCACGCCGTCTCACGGGACAACTCTGCTCCAGCCGGGAGGTGGGCCGAGGCAGCTCATTACCCAGAGGGGGAAGCTGAGGCCCCGCCGGGCAGGTTACCCAGCTGTAAGGGCTGGAGACCAGGCTTGACTATTTTGGCTTAACTCTAAAGTACTTTCTCATTCCCGCTAAAGAGAAAAAAAACATCGACGTCACAACTGCAGGACGCAGCGCATCCCAGGCAGCGGAGACCCAAGAAAGACCCAGGTTCGCATCCCGGCTCTGCTGTCTCCAGGCTGGGAGTTTGTTCTGTGGATGAACAACACGTGCCAGGCCCCCAGCCCTGCCTTTTTCCCGAAGTTTCTCTGCCCTGGGGAACTTGTAACCCACGTGTGTTACGAGCAGCATTAGCTGAAAGTCCGTGAATGTCACTCTGAAAAACTTGAAAACGAAAAAGAAAACCCAGCTAGGACCCCTTTATCTTCCCAAGCCTGGTGCCTGCTCCCTGCTGCCAGTGACAGCTTTGTCCCCTCACGCGAGGCAGTGGAGGGAGCGCGGGTGCATGAGCAGCCCCCAGGGCACTGCCCCTCTGGGAAGAACTGCCTGGCGGGTGTCATGTCACGCTGTGGCAGCAAAGCAGTTGCCGTGAGGCCTGTCCTGTCCTGCTGCCTCTCACAGCGGATGGTCTCGGGGCCCCAGCCCACTACAGCACGTGCTGTGGGGGGCAGCGGGGTGATTACAGGGGGCTTGTCCTGCTGGTGGCTGATGGAGACTCCACAGACGCCCCCCTGTGAGCCACCCACAGCATGAGGGTAGCCGTACAGGCCCCCTAGATGGGGGGATCACAGAGGTGGGGGCACTTGAGCCGGCTGTTACGGACGGGGGTGGGTGGGGTGTAAGGAGTGGGGACGGGGACGGGGGAGGGCACACTTGGTGGGACACGGGGGAGGGCAGTGCGAGCTGAGCGTGGAGGGAACGCAGGGAGGAGCTGGCAAAGTTGCTGGGGCCTGGGAGCTGGGGGCCTCTGCTGCTGCCACCAGGAGCTTGGGACGGCTGCTCCAGACAGTCGGGGAGGAGGAGTCAGGGAGGGGCTGCGAGCAAGAGAAGATAGGCCGACAGCGAGGTCTTTATACCGTGTCCGGGTCCAGAGAGTGGGACCCTGGCTGGCGATGGGGAGAGAAGGAGGTGGGTGTGACGGGTGTGGGAGGAGCGCAGGACTGAGGGACCGCGGGCAGAGGGGCCGAGGGAGAAGCAAGGGAAGGGACCCTGGAACTCAAGGGAGGCCACGCAGGAAGCAAGTGCAGGATTTGCAGGGAGGATGGTGAGTTCGGCTTTGAGGCACCCACACGGCTCCCAGGAGATGACCCTGGTAGCCGGGTCTGTCGGATCTGGGCTTGGGAGAGGATCAGGCTGGAGACGGTGGTTGGGGGTTACCTGCAACTGTGACTTATTGGGAAACACTACAGAGGTGACAATCCTTATACATGGGGTGCCTGAGACCCCCTACCTGGAGCCAAGCTCCCTCATCTGCTTCCTGTGGGGCAGGCGGGCCCCAATTCAACGCCAGCCTCACACACCCCTCCTGGGTAGGGGCCAGCCAGGAGTTGGGGGCAGCCCTGTCTAGGGTGGGCTCCCAGGTGTGCTCCTCAGGGCCTCAACGTCCCCCAGCGCCACACTTGCCTCTGTCGTCTCCTGTGGGCTGGGAGGCGGGGCCCACCTGCCCCGCTTCTCCTTGAGCTCCTACTGTATGCCAGGCCCCATGCTGGGCGCCGGGACAGAGGGGAGCAAAGCAGATGCTGTCACTGTCCTCAGCAGCTCCAGGCTAACGGAGGAGGCTGTCGCTAACACAAACACCTCGCAAGGTCTGCGGCAGTTTGAGAGAATGTGTAACCTAGTTGCTGGACACAGACCACGGGTAGGTGGGGGAGAATTGCTGAGGATGGACCCTGAAGCTGAGATCTGATGAGGAGGGGAGTTAACTTGACAACAAGGATGGGGAACAGCATTCTAGACATAGGGAACAGCATAGGCGGGGACCTTGTGGTAGGAAGAAGCCCCAGGCATTTCATGAACTGAACGGTGCCATTGAGGTAGGAACCCTGAGGACAAGGGGGAGCCCAGTGCGGGCAGCAGAAGACCCTTATGGGGCTTGGCAAGTAGCCTGGACTATATGGGCAGCTGCCCATGAAACTAGCCAGGAGTCAGGGGCCCTGCACTACCTTGCTCAAGCGATCCTCCTGCCTCAACCTCTCGAGTAGCTGGGACTACAGGCATGTGCCACCACGCAGGGCTAATGTTTCAATTTTTTTGTAGCGTCGGGGGTCCCACTATGTTGCCCAGGCTGGTCTTGAACTACTGGCCTCAAGCAAACCTCCCGCCTCGGCCTCCCAAAGCACCACGGTTACAGGCATGAGTCACCTTGCCCAGCTGAGCTCTGTGGCCTTGAGCGAGACGCTTCCTCTCTCTGGGCCTTTGGGTGAGTCGCGATGCACTCGCTCGCTGTACTCTGATCCCTGAACGTCGGAGCCTTTGCCCCATCTCCCTTTCTGCGTGTCACTCAGACCACAGCGAGGACGTCACCTCTCCAGACACCGCCCCGACCACTCACGTCGTCCGGCTCGCTCTCTCTGTTACATCACCCTGCTGTAGATTTGCTCAGCACTTACCGCACTCGCGGATGCTCCGACTGGTCCTTTTGCCCGTCTCTTGTCTGTCTGCCCCTTGCCCCGGACTTCTGTGCCTTCAGGCACTCATGACATTGTCAGCCAAGTGACAGAGGCAGAGGAAGGTGCTCCTGCCCTGGAGTCCCACGGGCCTGAATTCAAACTGTGCCGGCCCCCAGTTAATTTGCTCTGAGGACACGGGCAGGCCCACTCGAACTCTCTGAGCCTCAGACTTCTCATCTGCAAAATGGATCGTATCTATTGCAGGGAGTTCCACACTGGGTCCTCCTCCAGGCCAATGTCAAGCCCTGTTCCCATCCTGTCCCCAGCTCTGTCTGCCATTTCAGACAGGAAGTGGGGGTGGCCAGGCACCGATCCAGGTCAAGTTCATCTGCTTCTGTGAGCCCTTGCCTTGTACCTCTTGGCTCAGCATTTCACCGGCCCACAGGTGCCGACCCTGGGCCTGGTTTTCTGGGGGTGAGATGGGCACCCTAACTCCTTGGGGCTCCCCAGGAAGCAGTTTTAAACACATGGCAGGTCACAGGCCCTGTCTGAGGCAGGATCTGTTATTCTTTTGTCCATTTCACAGATGAGGAACCAAAGGCCCAGAGACAGCAAGCAATTTTCCCAAGGTCACACGGAGACATGAGATGGGGCTGAGAGAGGATCTTGAACCCAGCCACGTCTGTCTGACTCAAACCCTGTGCTTCCATCTACCTTAGGCAACCTCTTGCTCTGTACACACAGTGCACACACGGCCAGGGCTGCGTGCTCACTGCACATCGGGCAGGGTGCTGGTGGCAGGCGTGTGGCTCTGTTGATTCATTCCACAAATGCTAGGGCACTTGCCGTGTTCTAGGCACTAGATGCGCCTGTGCCCCCCCCATATGATCACCGTGAACATATATGACAGGATACATTGGTACACACCTACACGTGCACACGTATGGATATGTGTGCAGAGACACGCCCAGATATACATGTGCACACACACACACACACACACACACACACGGATACAGACATAAGTGCCCATTAGGACACCAACATCTAGGCTTCAAGATGAGGCAAGAGAAATACACATGCAACATGCATCAGCACATACACACCAGCCACACACCCACAAGAGCCCAGGGACACCCCCCACACCCCACCCCTCCTCCCACCCCCCTTGCTACCACCTCTCAACACCCCAACGTCTCAAGGGAGCCCCACTCAGCCGTGACGAACGCCTTGTCTGTGTTTGAGATGACGCCCCCACGTTCAGAGCCCCCGTTTGGCCGGAGCATGTGGCTTCCCCTCCTGGACAGAGCAAGGATGTCCAGTGTCCCCCCAGGGCATGAACACTTTTGGCCTTGGCACCTGGGGACCCCCTTTCTCCAAGAGGCTGGGCTCCCTCCCACCCAAATTCCCCTCCCACAAGGCAACAGAGAGACAGACACAGGGGCTTTAGAAATCAGGCAAGTTTTAAATACATGTTGGCACAATATTAACATTAAATACACATCATAAATAAGCCTTATAAATATAAAACTGATAAAAAGTGATAAATTAATCATGTCCCTCCAGGGAATTGGCCCAGCAGCTTCCGGAACCCCCTCCGGGAGGGCAATGGTTTCAGCGTGAGAAAATTCCAGGATACGCCACCAGGGGGAGCAGCCGCAGTGAGGCGCCAAGGCTGGGCTGCCAGGGGCTCAGAGGTCTGCGGAGAGCTGGGCCTACACCCACCCATCGCCATTGGCACCGCGTGTCCTGATTTACAGAGACTCTGATAGCCGCCCTATGTCACAGGGTCCCAGCAATGGACAGACAGAGGGGGCCTTACATGGTCCCCAACTCTCTGGCTTCACAAGGAGAAAACTGAGGTCCAGAGAGGTAAAGTGACCTGCCCGAGGTTACACAGCAAGTTGGGGACTGTGCTGGGACCTGAGCCCTGTTCCCTGGACCCTCAGATCAGTTCTCCTGGGACACCGTGCCCCTGATACAGCTGCCTAAAGTGAGGTCACCCAGACATCCAGGTGTCTGGCCTGAGACGCAGTGAGGCATAGGAGGCCCGCTCAGGCCGTGACCTCCCTGCAGAACCACGGGAAGGAGGAAGTCTGGGGGCAACGGCCCGGCAAGTCATGAGAGGGAAGGGCCGGCAGGCCTCCGGGGAGCAAAGCAGGGGGGCAGTCAGCCCAGCCGTGAGTCACCCTGTGTCATCAGACCCCTGAATCAATGGAAAGTCAGCCCTGCGTGGCCTGACCTGGCCACCCCACCGGGACTCGGGAACTCGGAGCTGGGGAGTGCAACCACCTGACTCTGCCCCCCAGCCCGGAGGAGGTAGAAGAGGCCGCCCAGCTCCCACCTCTTAAAGTGCACTTCTGAGCCGGGGTGGGGGTGGGAGCAGGTTTGGAGACCCCGGAGGTGTCCTCCTGCCACAGTCCCCTTCCATCCACAGACACCCGCCGCATCCTTCACCTGCAAAGGGTGCTCCTGAGGCTACCGGGGCAACTGCCCCCTAGGCACGAGTCTCTTGCTGCTCCTGGAGGGTCTGGGTCTGCGGGCCTCCTTCTGCAGGGCCCGGGGGGGCCTGTGTCTGTGGCTCTGGCTCGGGCTCTTCCCCCACTCACCGAAGACCTGCCCCACAGAGCTCATGAAGCGGTGGTAGCCGTGCAGGAACCTGCAGCCCTCCAGCTTGCGCTGAAAGGCACCTGGGTCGGGGGTGGGCGGCGGAGAGGTCCCCGGGGCTGCCTGAGTGGGCTCGGCCGCGTCCCAGGAGCTGCCCAGCAGCCGGGACATGCAGAAGATGTTGTTCCTGAGCCCGTGGATGTTCAGCCTGGCCATCTTCAGCATCTCCAAGTCTTGGGTGCTCAGCCTCGCTGCGGGCGGCTTCTCCAAACCCCGGGCCTCCGGGAGGTGCTGCTGTATGGCGGCCAGTCTGCGCAGCACGAGGCCCAGCGTAGCATTGAGGGTCCGCAGGAAGCTCCGCCTGCCCAGCCCCCGCAGGGCACCCTCACTGGGGAAGGCCCCGGGGTGCTCCTTGCAGCGCTCTCTCAGCTTGGGGAAGTCCAGGCCCTGGATGCGCATCTGGGGGGAACAGGAGAATCAGGGGGTGAGCGCTGGGGACCCCAACCACACACACACACAGATGAGTCTGCTCTGGTCAGCCTTGAAATGTAAACTTCACGCACCCCTATTCGCTCCTCCCATCGTACAGGTCCAAAAACTGAGGCCTGAGAAAGCAGGGGACCCCAAGATCACTGCAGGCAGGGTTGGAGAGATGTTGGGGGGCTAGCAGGGGTGACCGCATGGGTGGTGATTGTGGCATGAGGGTGTCAGTGGGGAGTGGGGGGTTTCAAGAGGGCTGGACTCTGTTTTGCTCACTGCTATGTCCCCGTGCATGGAACAAAGCATGTGACAGGTGTGCGATAAAAAATGCTGGACACAGAGGGACGAGGCAGTGGTGTTGGATTCACGCTCCGGGCCCACGGGGCTGGGGAAGCTGTACAGTGTGCGCCCTTAGCCTCTCAGGGTTAGAGCTGGAATAACAGGGGACTCAGTTTCCGCCCCCCCCATATCGAGTGGGGGTCCTCCCGGCCGCTCACTCCCTCCCTGACTCCCGCAGTTCCCTGAGACCCAGACGCCACAGGGGCTAGGTGCTCACATAGGGGTCCAGGAGCGTGCTGGGGTCCTGCATGGAGTGCGCCTGCTTCTGGAGCTGGCCGAGGAGCACCTGGAAATCTCCCGGACAGCTGCCCATAGCTGTCATGCTTGCAAACAGGAGTCCGAGGACCAGACCTGGGGCAGAGAAGGGAGGTGTCACCTGACTCGGCCAGGAAGCCGCAGGTGGGAGCCTGGGGGAGGTGCTTCCCCTCATCCCCGGCTTTGTGCAGCCAAGGGCAGGGCTGGGCACCGCGGGGCGCTGTGTGCACAGAAATACCCGCTGGGGCCACCACCACCTCCCCGGTGAGTCACTGCCCAGGACTCGAAACAGGAGTGGGAGGGCCCGGGACAGTGGCTGCGATTTACCAAGCAGGTCTTTTTGTGGAGGGAGCAGTGTCCGGCTGGAGCTCAGTCCTGCGGACACCGCAGTACCAACCTTAGGAGCTGACACTGGGCGGGCAGGTGGGGCTGGCTCTCTGCAAGACCTCACGGGTAAGGGCCGGCCACTGCCCCAGGGCCCTGCCTCGTCAGCTACCCTGGGCCCCCAGTAACAGACCCCCGCCCTCCACGCAGAAGGGTTTAAGAGGGCTTTGGGGCAGGCAGCCCGGGAGCAGCCGGAGCCCTGAGCTCTGTCCGCAGACCCAGGAGAGCCTGCCTGTCCACCCAAAGGCTCAGCCTGCAGGAGATGCGGGAGATCACCCTGTCCATGCCCCCGTTTTACTCACAGGTAAACCGAGTGGCAGGAGAAGGGCTTGCCCAGGTCACACAGAGCAGTGCTCTGCCCCGACCTCCCATGCCTCCCTCCTCTCTCCATAAGTGGCCACTCTGTCAGACCCACCAGGGATGCTGTGAGCCCATCAGAAGGTTCCAGGGGGGCGGGCACAGTTACTACTCGCCACCCCTCCCCACTGGGCACCGGCAGCCACATGGTCGGAAGGGGCCTGTGGCGCAATGGCCCGGAAGGCAGTGACACCATCGTTCCCCTCCTAAGAACCATCCGGCCCCTAGGGGAAGACTGGCTTCTGGGGAGGGCAGAGGGGCCGAGCGCCCAGGCACAGCCGCCCCTGGTCACCCTTGTCACCTCCCCAGGTATCCACTGCCGGGCTCTGGGCAGGGGGGCCGTGTGTGTGCGGCAGCGAGCGCGTGGGACTAGGGTGTCTGCGTGGCTGTGTGTCCGGGTCTGTGTGAGGTGCTCAAGGGAGCACCTGCTCTGTTCACTCCAGGGCCCTGATCTGCATGTGGGGGCTCCCAGGTCGGTGAGATTGAGGGCTCTGATGACGTCACCATGTGGGTGTGGCTGAGTGTGCCGTGTGATGGTGAGGGCTCCAGGACTTTCTATCCATCCCGGACCCCCAAGGCCCCTGCACACGTCGCCTGTCCCCTGCCTGGCTCCTGCGGCTCCCTGCAGCCTCCCTCCTGCTTCCCCTGCCTGTCCCAGCCTATCCTCTTCCCTCACACCCTGGCTCCTGGAGTCGTTTCTACGTCGCCTCCCCCTGGAAGCCTTCGGGGATACCCCTTCTCCACCTGTGGGGATGCTGGGCTCTCAGCGGACCCCTGTGTTGGCCTGACCTGCTGGCTCTGTCCCCTTCTCAGCATCCTTCTGCCCGGTGTCCTGCCTCCCCAGCTCCCAGAGGACAGAGGGTGGCCCTGCGGCCCGCGGTGCCCGTGGGCACAGTAAGCGGGTGCTGGCGGGGAGGAAGGAAGTACTCACTGAGCAGCGTCCTCCGTGTGATCTGTGTCCGCATGCTGGGTGCCCGCGCTACGGCCCGTGCCTGCTGGGGGTGACACCTCAAGGCTGGGAGCCCTGCGGGCTGGCAGCCACTTTATGCCCGCCGGGGCGATTGGCCAACACCTCGTGAGGTGGGTGGGGAGGGGGTGGGGGGAGGGCAGGCCTTCTGGGAACATGACCCCAAAAACCAAAATTTCCACAGCGGCCAATGGGCGCTGGGCGCGGTGGTGCGCCCGCTCCTCCTCCTGTTTTCTTCGAATTCGTTCTTCGAGGTCAGCCCCACGCCCAAGGATGATGCAAACCGCAGCCTCAGCCTTCCTGGGGCAAGTGGGGAGGAAGGGGGTCCGTGCCATCTTTTGGGGGCCGAGCCCGGGATGGGCGGGAGGGACGGGGCCTCTGGAGGCCCCAGGCCAGTCTCTGCCCAGGAGCCACTGGCCTGGCAGGTCTTGGGGCTGAGGGGAGCGAGACATCTTCCTTCTCGAGTGCCCTTCCCGCCCTCTCGCCGGAGCTGTTGGGACATCTGTGAGCGGAAACCACCGGGCTCTGGGCACAGAGCCAGACCCAGGCTGGCAGCCCCGAGATTGTGGTTCTGGCCCCGGGACCAGCATCCCCCAGCCCAGCTCCCAGCTGTCTCCTTTCCTTCATTGCGCACCCCCTACCGCCCTTCCCCATCCCAGGCCCACAGCCCAAAGCCGGCCCCTTCTCTGCAGACAGTGTCCTCTGGGGAAAACGGGACACTTGGAGCAAGAAAAACAGGAGACCAGGGTTCAAGCCCGCTGATGTGCTGTGTGATCTGAGGCAAGTCACTTAACCTCTCTGGGCCTCAGAGGCCCTACTTGTAAAATGAAGAGGAGAAAAATATTTCCCAGCTCACCTCACAGGGCTGTTGCCATCATGGACATAAAAGGCAAAAAAGCCTTTGAAGGGAAAAGAAAAGATGAAAACCTAATTCCAAGTACTAGCCGTCGGGGGTGGGAGTGGTGAGGTTCGGGGTGTCAGTGGGTTTGGGGAAGATGGGGAAGCCGTGAGCTCAGAGGGGAAGCCAGGAGGGGGAGTTGCCTCTGTGACGGTTGGGGACCAGGTTTCACTTTCTCTGAAAGATAGCGATCGTGGGTTTGTCCTCCGCTTCTTGAAGATTTGTCTGCACTCAGAATGAAGGGCCCCTGGAGACAGCGCCTCCCTGGCCAACCTGCAGCTTTACTGTGGGGTAAACTGAGGCCCAGGTGAGGGCAGACAAGGTGGGGTAGAGGGGCTGGGCCAGGCCTGCAAGCCATGCCTGGAGACCCTGGCACATCCACCAGGCCCAGAAGAGGGTCCTTGGCCTGCACCCTGAGGAGCCTGGCTGGGAGGAGGCCGCAGAAGGCTGGGGAGCCAGGGCAGGGTCCCTGGGGGCTGCCAGGGAGGCACGAGCTGCTCTGTCTGGAGAGAGCACTGCGCTTGCAGAGGCCGGACAAGGAGAACCAAGGAAGCCAGAAAAGAGCAGGGCTGGAGGTGCCCTGCATGTCCACCAAGGCTGTTCCCACCGCCTCCACCTCTGTAGACACACCCACCATCATGTATTCATTCAACAAACCTTTATTTGGCCCCACTCTGGGCCAGCCACTCCTGGGTGCTGAGGATTCAGCAGTAGGCAAAACCAGACAAGCCCACGCCCAGGAGGCTGCCCCTCCCCTTTTCTCCCCCCACCCCACACACAGGGAAAACCTAATACCTCACTGTCGCCACTCCCACGGTGACCATTTCTGGATCCTCATCCTGAGAATGTCGCTTCCGCTAAATCCCTCATCTCTGTGCCCACCCCCGCAACACTGGGTCCTGGGGCTCGTGCCAGGCCGGGATCCTTCTCCATTTCACATCCCTGATCTCATCGTGCAACAGGCGGGTCTAGGATGCCTCACGCTCGGCCCACTTAGAGGAAGAGATCGAGGCTCTGGGAAGGCCAGGGGCTGGCTCAGGGCAGATGGGCTCCTGGCCCCTCTCAGCTGTAGCTGACGACCTGCCAGACTCAGGGACAGCCAGCCCTGGGCCTACACCCTGTTCTGCCCACCCCAGGGGCCAGGGAGGCCGCCCTGTCTCCTCCCTTTAAAGGCACCTCCGTGACACTGGGGTCGCCTGCGAGCAGTTAGGAGAAGAGGGACATTCAAACCAGGCCAAACGACCATGCTCTTAGCACACGGCTGATCAGGCTGCCAGGCACTGGCCCAGGGACCACGGTCACCAAAGGCAGGAGAGCTCGTGTATCAGTTTGCTAGGGCTGCCATAAGCGAGTCCCACAGGCTGGGCGGCTTGAATAACAGAAATGTGTCTTCTCACAGTCCTGGAGGCTGGACATCTGAGATCGAGGGGTGGCCACTTCTTAGGCCTCTCTCCTGGCTTGTCGATGACTCTGTCTCTCCCTGTGTCTTCTTCACCCGGTCTTCCCTCTGCCTGTCTGTGTCCTAAGCTCTTCTTCTTATAGGACACCGGTCAGATTGGATCAGGGCCCACCCCATGACTTCAAGTGACCTTAAGTACTGCTTTCGAGGCCCTAAACACAGTCGCATTCTGAGTCGGTGTGGGTTAACACTTCGACATACGAATGCAGCGGGGGACATGATTTAGCCCTGCAGCCTGCAAGAGGAAGGCGTGGCTGGAGGGCCGCAGGGAGTGGGGGCCCCGGTGGAGGGTCCAGAGCGGGGCATGTGCAGGGAGGACGGGGAGCCGCCCGGAGGCCAGGAGGCCCGACCATTGGAGCGAAGCGTGAGGGAAGATGCGTCAGCGTTTCTGGTGAGGTCAGCGCCCAGTGACGTCCCTCTTGCCAGCAGGAAAAGCTTGCAACATGGCCTAGCCAGTATAAATAGGCTCCCCGACCACAGGGCCCGGGCTGTCCCCTCTTCCCGGGCCACGTCAGCCTGGTCCTCGTGACTTGGAGGGGAAGAGAGGACAGGCTTGGTTCCTCAGAATTGCTGTTTCATGGTCTCTCCCTGTCCCTTGAAATGCAAGGACAGGCCTTGGGATGGCCTGGGGGGGTCGGACCAAGCTGGAGGCAGGGGGCCGCTCCACAGCGGTGGGGAGAAGGTGGCCCCCAACCTAAGTTCCAGTCTCACTCCGCAGGGAGCCCCTGTGTTTTTGGCCCGGTCACACCCCTTTTCTGAGCCGGTTCCCTCTCGGTAAACTGCAGGGACACAGCTTAACAACAACAAAAAGACAAACAATCCAATTTCCAAATGGGCAAAGGATTTGAATAGACATTTCTCCAAAAAAAAGATGCACAAGTGGCCAATAAGCACATGAAAAGATGCGCATCATAGGAAATGCAAATCGAGACCACGGTGAGATACCACTTCGCACCCACTGAGGTGGCTATGATCAAAGACACACGATGACAAGTGTCAGCAAGGGTGTGGAGGAATTGGAACTCCAGTACATTGTTGGGGGGAATGTACAATGGTGCAGCCAAATTGGAAAACGGTTTGCCAGGGCTGGGGTGGTGGCTCAGGCCTGTAATCCCAGCGCTTTGGGAGGCCAAGGCAGGAGGATCGCTTGATTCCAGGAGTTCGAGACCAGCCTGGGCAACATAGTGAGATTCCATCTTTACAAAAAATTTAAAAATTAGCTGGGCATGGTGGCTCACACCTGTAGTCCCAGCTACTTGGGAGGCTGGGGTGGGAGGATCCCTTGAGCCCAGGAGTTTGAGGCTGCTGTGAGCTATGATCTCGGCACTGCACTCCAGCCTGGGCAACAGAGCGAGACCCTGTCTCTAAAAAAAGAAAATAGTTTGGCAGTTCCTCAAACGGCAAAACATAGAGATATCATATGACCAACAATTCCACTCCTAGATGTACACCCAAGAGAATTGAAAATACAGGCCTACACGAAAACTTGCAAACATTTATCGGAGCAATTCTTTACAATAGCCTGAAAGTGGAAACAACCCAAATGTCTGTTGATAGAAAATGGATAAACAAAAAGTAGCTTACCCACACAATGGAATATTGAGTCACAAAAAGGAGTGAAGTATGGATACAAGCGATCCAATGTGGATGAAGACAATCCGCTAAGTGAGAGAAGCCGACACAAAAGGCCACACATTGTGTGACATGTCCAGAGTAGGCACTTCCGGAGGGACAGAGAGTAGGTTGGTGGTTGCCAGGGGCTGGGGGACCCAGGGATGGGAGAGACAGGTAAGGGGTGAGGGGCTTCCTTTGGGGCGATAAAAACATTCTGAAATTTGGGCCGGGCGCGGTGGCTCACGCCTGTAATCCTAGCACTCTGGGAGGCCAAGGCGGGCGGATTGTTTGAGCTCAGGAGTTCGAAACCAGCCTGAGCAAGAGCGAGACCCCGTCTCTACTAAAAATAGAAAGAAATTAATCGGACAACTAAAAATATATAGAAAAAAATTAGCCGGGCATGGTGGCGCATGCCTGTAGTCCCAGCTACTCGGGAGGCTGAGGCAGGAGGATCGCTTGAGCCCAGGAGTTTGAGGTTGCTGTGAGCTAGGCTGATGCCACGGCACTCTAGCTGGGGCAACACAGTGAGACTCTGTCTCAAAAAAAAAAAAAAAAAAACAAAACTCTAACGTTAAACAAGGGTAAGGAAGTCTAACTGAGTTCTGACTTTTCTCAGGATGATAGAGTGCAATGCCTATTTTGTTTTTTAGTTTTGCTTTGTTTTCTTTCTTTTCTCTTTTTTTTTTTTTTTTTGAGAAGAGGTCTTGCTATGTTGCCCAGGTTGGTCTCCAACTCCTGGGCTCAAGCAATCCTCCTACTTCAGCCTTTCAAGTAGCTGGGACTACAGGTACGTACACTGTGCCCAGCATACAATGCCTATTTTGAAACATCAGATTCTGGCCAAAAATGTTTGAGTGCCCGGGGTGGCAGTGGTAACAACCAGGCACATTTCTGGAGCCCAGTGCCAGACATTTCACGGGGGCCACTTTGTTGAATCCTCACAACCACCTTAGGAGGCAGGTATCATTGTTTTTGCCCTGTGGATGGGGAAACTGAAGCCTGAGATGCAGAGTCCTTGGAGGGAGCAAAGACAGGTCTGAGCCCAGGCAGCCCTCC